TCCTAGAGTAAGTCTTTAGTCTTATACATTAGGCTTTTAATTTCTATAACAAAATTCATCTTCGTATATGGATTGATCTATGGTTTCTTTTTTTAGGTTAGGCATTTGACAAACAACATCCAGTTTATCTTGGACTGTTTGAGGGCTTCAACGCTTGTGGAAGTGCATGTATTGTGTGAAATATAAATTTTAAATCAACTATTGTTGTTATCATATCGGAAGAGGCAGCTAATGCCTTGGAACATTTTGTGGGAATTGCTGCAGTTTGACAAGTATTTATCCACTGATTTTTTCATGAGGCCTATAAGGATTGTGTAGTTGTTGTCTTGTTAACTTGAATTTGAACTGTTAGTACTATATGTTTGGACTCATTAATTTTAAGGTGAAATTGCTACTATTTTGTATTATATTTGGACAATTGTTGTGGAAGAATTAGTACTATTCCAGTTGTGGTCACTGGACAGAACGCGGAAATGAGTAGTATACTAAATGTGAATTCTTTTCTTTTTTGCTTAACTCTAGATTGAGTTATCTTATTGGGTAAATTGATAACTGAATCGATAATGATTGATAACCGATTAAGTGATACCCGATAATCGATATCTTATCGGTTCGGTTATCGGTTTATCAAATTTGTAAACCGATAACCAATATGCTAAACTGATAATATTTATAACCGAACCGAACTGACCGATGCCCACCCCTAGTTCAGCAAATAGAGAATAAAACTTCAGCTAGTACGACTGTAGGACAAAAATTTCAGCTTATTTAGTGCCGAAGTTTTTGAAAAAGCTTTACGACAAAACTATTGAATCCATGACAAAACTTCAGCTAAACATGCTGCAGTTCAACAAATAGAGAACAAAACTTCAGCTAGTAGAATGCTTAAGTTCAGCAATTACAAACAACTTTAGGTCCATCTACTAGAGTGCTGAAGTTTGAATGATTGACTTTGCTACTTCAGGCCCGTATGCCTGAAGTTTAAGCGAAAAGTGGGTATGATTGCAATTTTTTTGTAAAACAGATATAAATTAAAACGTGACTCAAAAAGCGGGTATACATACAAATCTCCCCTCCTAATACGTGTGATAGGAAAGATACATATGCTAATCCCAAGTAGCTTTGTAGCTTTTCGCGGCGGAAAATTTATAAATGGCCAGTTTTATACCCGGTCAATCAAATTTAGCCACATAATCAAAAGTCAACGATATTTAGCCGTGAATTAAGCACGGTAACAATTTGTTGACTAAAATACCCCTACTATATTTATTAAATTTACGCGACTTGACCTTATATTCTTCTTTAGCAAAACCTTCCGGCTTTAAACTGAAAATCGAAGTAAGCTCTCTCAATTAAATCTATCTTCTACCACCACAGATTTAATTGTGATTCTCTACAATTCTTCTGTTTGTAATTCAAACCAGAAAATTCTCTCAGTAAAATTTTTTGATTCTTCGAATTTTCTGCAAATCGAAGTAAGTTCTCTCAATTAATGCTTTAATCTGTGTTATTTTGACACATTTTCTCAATGCGTTAATCTGTGCTTAATTGTATTAAATATCTTCTTTTCTGTAATTTAGATCGTAACTATTAAAATCTGCATTGTTCAAAACCATAAAAAATAATATAAAATCCTTCAGAACATAACGCCAGTATAATTAGCTGGACTTTTCTAAATTAATATGTAAAACTTAGACACTTCCAGTATAATATACTGGAAGTATGTTTGACTACAGTAACAACAGTATAATAAATTGGAATTTGCTTAATATATATATGAAAAACTCAATTATTTCCAGCTTATGATCCTGGAGTTATTTTTTTTAACATTATAACTTCTATATATCTAATTATTTGGGTTCCTGTATATTTTGCTAGAGATGTACATTGCGGAATTATAATATTCAGTATTTTATACAGGATATTCACAAACCAGATTTTTTACACAAAGTTTGTTGATTTAACTCTCTCAATTAATGCTTTAATCTGTGTTATTGTCTAATTTTCTCAATACGTTAATCTGTGTTAAATTGTATTAAATATCTTCTTTTCTGTAATTTAGATCGTAACTAATAAAATTTACATTGTTCAAAACAACTATAAATAATATAGAATGCTTCAGAACATAACGCCAGTTTAATTTGCTGGACTTTTCTAAATTAATATGTAAAACTTTGATACTTCCAGTATATTATACTGGAAGTTTGTATGACTCCAGTAACTCCACTATAATAAGCTGAAATTAGCTTAATTTATATGAAAAACTCAATTATTTCCAGCTTATTATATTGGAGTTATATTTTTTAACAGTATAACATCTAAATATCTAATTATTTGGGTTCCTATATATTTTGTTGGAGATGTACCTTGCGGAATTATAATGTCCAGTATTTTATATAGGATATTCACAAAAAAGATATTTTACCCAAAGTTTGCTGATTTAACTATTGTTGTATTTCTTATTTTAGTTGCTTACTGATAATTATACTGGAAAATCTAGTTATAAAGCTATATAGGCCAGTATATTGTAATAGAGATAGGTAAGACAGTTTATAATTTGTATCTACTATACTTTGCTCGAATTATAACTCCAGCTTATTATTTGGTTTCATTAAATACAGGATGCATATAAATTTCTTGCTTATCGCATTCGATGACAAATGGACAGCAGATTTCAATTACTTAGATCATAAAACAAAGCTTCTCCTTATAAATGATGGGACTTCGTTTGAAGAATTCATGAGTAAAATTTTTGAAGTTATGGAGTTCAACAACAACAAGTTTGAAGTAAAAGTATGGCTTAATATCAACCTAGGTACTGCTAAGGGAATACAAGTGACAAAAGATGAAGATCTTAGCTTGTGTATGATGCTTCTAAAAAATGATCCATACTATAAAAGTTCTAAATTTGTTGTTGAAATATTAGAAATACCAGATCAACAACTAGAAGGTAGTGCAATAATGGAAATTAACAATCAATAATTATTGCACAGAAACACATATGGTCCGGAAGAGCAAGTAATGCTGATATCGGAAGTAGCAAAAGAGCAGGAGATGCCAATTTATGACACTACAACGCAAAATGAAATTGTAATTCCTGTGGAAGATCAAGAGATTGAATCACTAGACACTATTGAAGGAAGAAAAAGGAAAGCAAAAGGAAAGGCAAAAGAATCCCCATCAATAATACTAAAGGAAAATGCATCATTGGATGATGTAAAACTCGAGTCAGTTTTTCAAAACAAAAATGCTATTATTAGATGTTTTTGCTTAACGGCTATAAAGGAGCACTTTGAGTTTTATATTAAGAGGTCAAGTAACACAAGATATTCTTTGGTATGTGCTGATGAAAAGTGTGGTTGGACTGTTCGAGGTTCAAGAATTAAACAATCAACATTTTTTAAAATAGTTAAATTTCAGAGAACACATGAGTGCTCGGTTGATATTAGAAAATCACATCAAAGACAAGCAACTTCTAATGTGATTAGAGATTATATGATTGACAACTTAAGGGACATAGTTACTGAAGTAAAGCCTAAGTTTGTCATTTCAGAAATGAAAAGAGCACATGGAATAGATGTTGGTTATGGAAAAGCATGACATGCTATTCAAAAAGGGTTATCTTTATTAAGAGGAACAACTAAACAGAATTATGAGCAGCTGGCATCATATTTGTATATGATCGAACAAAAAAATCCAGGATCATATACTAATATTCAGAGAGATGCAGAAAACAGGTAAATTTCTTATGTTTGTGTATAAAATATAGGCCTTCAAAATTTAGTAATAAATTTTGTCCAGTATATTATACTGAATTCTCGTGTGAATGTTTGTCCTCCAGTATGTTATACGGGATATTTTGCGGGATGTTTGCCTTGTGTAAGCTTTCTCTCCAGTATATTTTACGGGATATCTGCCTTGTGTAAGCTTTTATGGGATGTACTCCAGTATATTTTACGGGATATCTGCCTTGTTTAAGTTTTCTGTCCAGTATATTATACTTGATGAGTTCTGTTTAACTTAGAAGTTTGTTTTATTTGTCATTACTTTTTTGAGTGATTATTCGTCTTCTTTTTTATTATGATCTTTAATCCAGTATATAATATTTGAGTTGTGTTTGATTTCAGTATATTTTAATGGAAGTCTGTCGTCTTTAAGCTTTTTGTGTAGTATGTTATTAGTATTCAACTTGCCATATGGTATAACTGAAAGTTATTTACTTTTCAATTGAACAGGTTTGTCTACATGTTTTTTATGTATGGGGCATCAATTTCTGGGTGGAAGTATTGTAGAACACTTATTGCAGTTGATGGAACATTTCTAAAAAATAAATATAGAGGTGTTCTGTTAGTGGCTGTTACAAAAGATGCAAATAACCAGATTTTCCCTATAGCATTTAACGAAGCTACAACAACTCTCGGAATTCCATTCCGACTCCCGGATCAAAATCTCACCTATCAACCGGAAATCGCCAAAATACTAACTTCGTCAATTCAAGCCTAATTCTACACCGGACCTCCAAAATCACTTCCGATCACACTCCTAAGTCACAAATCACCTCTCGGAGCTAACCGAACCGTAGGAATTCACATCCGAGCCCTCTAACTCATAAGTCAACGTCCGGTTGATTTTTCCAACTTAAGCCTCCTTAAAAGAGACTAAGTGTCTTATTTCTTATCAAAACCACTCCAAACCAACTCAATCACATAAGATACGGATAATAAAGCATAAAAAAGCTGAGAATGGGAAAACGGAGCAGTAACCCATGAGACGACGGGTCGGGTCGTCACATCTAACCCATGTTGATGAATCACCTATAGAATTTACTTGCCCTTCATATGTTTTCAACCAAAAGTCCCTTGAATAATAGGCGGAGCAAAAGGCCAATTTCTTTTGATATATACTGTCAATTGCAGCAATTGCATGTTCACAGGGTATTTCATCTAGCTGAAATTGACAACAATCACATATTTTTTTGTCTAGATCAACAATAAATTACATACCCCCTTCTTTCACATTAAATTTGAGTTGATCAATAGGCAATACTCTAAATGTAAAAGCTGGTTTAATTTTTTCTTCCAATGTTGCTTCTGCCCAATTTGATATCTCACGGAATATTCCTTCTGCAGTTGTCCTTCTTTCATAGAACCAGCTTTGCAACTTTTCTTGTATGAAATCCATCATTGTTAAAAGTGGCAATTCTCTTGCACGTCTCAATACATTATTCATTGAATCAACAATATTTGTTGTTAACATATCATATCGTCTTCTCGGACAATGTGAACGAGCCCACCTTTCTGGTGGTTCCTCCATTAAATAATTAAATGTTTTCTTATCAACAACAGCTATTTGGGACATGAAGTCATCAAATTCTGATTGAAGGTATACTCTTGCAGCACTTTGAAAAAGGTTTAGTACAGTATTTCTCACTCTTCTTTGCATTAGATTCTTTTCTAAATGATATATGCAAATACCATGGTAGCACTCAGGGAAAACTTTTGCAATACCATTTGCAATGGCCTTGTGTCGATCTGACAAAAATATTAAATCCTTACGAATCCCAATTGCTTTTCTTAATTCTCTGAAATACCATTCATATGATTCATTATTCTCTGAATCCGCTACCTGATTTGGGATGTGTGTGCAAAATTTCAGGTCATTCGGACGTGGTTTGGTTGGGTTTTTGATCGAATGCGTGTTTTGGAAGTTTTAAAAGAACTTAGGCTTGAATTCGATGTAATTCGATGGTTTTGGTGTTAGTCGAGGCGTTTTGATGATTGGAGCAAGTTTGGATGATATTTTAAGATATGTTAGTGCTTTTGATTGAGGTCCCAGGGGCCTCGGGGTAATTTCGGATGGCTAACGGGAACTTTTGAAGTTGGAAAATTTCATAATAGACGAAAGTTGTAAATGAGTGCGCACAAGACCTCACTTTGGACAATCATATCTCCAGTTATAAAAGGAGTTGTGTGATCCACAACCTATCAAATTAAAGCCCTTTGGGTCTAGTTTCCAACGCAATAAACTGTTTGTCATTTGGAGGTGTATACAGAAAGTTATGACCATTTTACTGGGCATGTGTCACTAGCGCGCCCAAATGCGCGATCTCGCTAGTGAACGCGCATATTGCGAAGTTTTCTGCCTTCGTCGCGCTACTTTAGCACGCCCAGGTGCGCAACCGCGCTAGTAGCAGGCCCCTAAATACCCCAAGACTGGGTATAGAGAGTTCCCAAGTCATTTTTGGAGCAAGGGCTTGCTCTCTCAAGAGGAATCTGTCCCACTCTTCATTTCTATGATCCAAGGTAAGATTTTTGGAGTATTTTGAGTTGATTACTACTTCTAAACACTTATATTAACATGGATTGATCTTGAAAATCCTTAGATTTTCCTTCAAATCCTTAAATTTATCAAGAACACCACAAGTGGGGATTCTTAAAATTCTTACTACAAGAGGTATGTCTATCATCTCCAACTACTCTATGGTGATTATTTATGTATGATATATACATTAGAACTTGGTGTCACACTTTCGTTTTTACCTACACCCCCGGAAAAGGTATATAAGGAGTTTTTCCAATTTAAGTGACAATCGAAACGGGATTATTTATTTATTAAAAATTCAGAGTCACCACTTGGGATAATTTATGGTGTCCCAAGTCACCGGTTCAAATCCCGAATCGAGGAAAAGATTGGCTCTGTATTACAGTCTGCGAACACAAAAATTCGAGTAAGGAATTCTGTTAACCCGGGAGAAGGTGTTAGGCATTCCCGAGTTCCGTGGTTCTAGCATGGTCGCTCAACTGTTATATTCGGCTTAATTATCTGACTTTACACAATTATGAACCTATGTGCAAATTTTAACTTTAACCGCTTTAATTTAATTACTTAAAGAAGATTGCAACGTTATTAAAACACGTCTCGAACCACGTCACATAAATGCACCTATGGCTTTTGACATATTTTAACATCGTTGAGATTTGGATTTGGGTCACATAAATGCGCACCCGAGTTTAAGAAGGTAATATTATTAAACTGACGTGCCTAAAGCAATTACGAATTTGCAACTCTGCGAGGGCCATGGAAACTAAATGGCACGCCTCGATATAATTAGAAAAGTCATACTTAATTAAGAGGGCCCAAGATGTCATATCTATTCTACATATATATTCACAGTATATGATTGTGAAAACGGGCCAGGCGCAATTTCAGTGCATAGGCTCCAAGATTTCTTCCCTTTTTAAATTAAACCCATAGCCAATATAAAGCCCAATCCCTGAATTTGCTCCCAGGAAACTTCTTGCTTTCCTGGTGTCTTGCGTTGGTACAATGACAGAAAAAAAAAAACTGCCTATGCCATGAATTCAAAGCTCAATAACTAATCACCATTTTAATAAGGAAGATTTGAAGGAAACAATAGCATTTAAATCTCATAGTATGCTAGATCTCAGCTGGAGAGTTCAACAGGATAACCGAGTCAAGCACAGAAGTGTAACTCGAATCAAGAAAAGGTTAAACATTGAGAACGATCGTCTTCACAACTAAGCAATTTCTTTGCATCAAAATGTTGGCAGCATACATCAACTAGATTTCACTTAAATCATGCAACTCATGAAACTTCAATGTAAACAGGAACCAACAACTTCATGACCACTGAATTCATAATAAAGCATAAACTAAAACATTGTCATACTCAAACTTCGTCGCTACAACTCTAACTGGCTATCAAAATTCTCACCCAATTTGAAGTTTCAACAAAGGGCAAGATGTCCCAAAACTAAACCGTGGAGACAAGAAAGTTCCTATGAATCAACTTAGAGACTCAACCAAACTGGTTGCTGAAGATAGATCTAATCACATACTAAGGAGGGGCCTGCCATTAAACAACAATAGCTATGAAACAGTTTAAAAGAACATCAGATGAACAAAGACCAATCAGTTTGTAGGGAACCTGATCCCAGCTCAAAACACTTCAATTTACACTAGCAAGCCTTTATTTCAATACAACGAAATTGGCAGAACACCACAGAATATTGTGAAATCAGCAAAAAAACTGGTCATAGAAACTTTAGCACTACTGAATCCTCAAACAGAACACCATGGCTAACAGTGCAGAATTTTCGAACAAGAGCAGGAAACAGAGCTGCCTAGACAGTGCGAAACAGGGCAGGCCAACATCTGCTCAAATTGACTTCTTCAACAGCTCGAAAGAGCAGAAGTCTTGTAGCAGAAACAAGGCATATAAAATTTCTAACAAGAGCAGGAAACAGAGCTGCCTAGACAGTGCAAAACAAGGTAGCTTTTCAGCAGGCTAACAGTCCAAACAAATGTTCCCAAAATGCTGCATATTTCAACACAATTCATTGCTTGAATCAGTTGTTTTTAGTAGCACGACAGAACATAGTTCTTATAGCTGTAACAATGCAGATAACTTTCGAGCAGGGGGAGAGAAAATAGAGCAAATCTACACATATACAAGCAGCGACACAGCTGAGTTTCAACACCAATTTAAACACACACAGCTGAGAATTGTCCTAGCTTGAACTTGCAAACACACATGAATAAGGTTTCAGCAGAAAATTCGTGAAATAATCCTCCAAATTGCTAATTTTCATATTCATTCCCAATCCTTTTACACGAGAAGATAACCGACGATTGTCCCATAAGTTCACGGCTGGGATTCGAAGAACAGAGAATAGAACCACACTAACTTAAACCTTCTTACTGGCAGATTCAACCAACAGAAGCCTAAATGACAACACAATGAGATACAAACTCAGAAATTCCAGCATACTCTATTATGACTTAGGAGTGTTTTCGATTCAAAAAAGTAACATAAAATGGACCTGAACCAAGACCAAACGAGTTTAGAACTCGACTAAGAACAAAACCGACATTGAGTTTCCAAATTCAAACTAAACTATGGTGGGATTTGAACACAGACAAACATAGAATCACGAGCGATAAAGAAGAGGATAAGGGATGAACCTGAGTTGCAAAACATAGATTAACTCTGCCTTGAACCCGATACAAGTGAATTTGACAATAAAACTCGAAGAACAACAACTACAAATGCGTTAGGATGCAAAAACTACAAACTCAAACACGAACGGTCAACTCGATCTCAACTCAGTTCGTCTCAATTTTTGAAGGGAATCGAAGAAGGATAATGGAAAAACTCTTCTTCGATTTTTCTGGACTTTGAAACAGAACTAAGAACAGAGCAAAAGAGACTGAAATTTTCACCTTCCTCCCCAGAATCGCACCTGAAAATGCGAAAACCAGCCAGGAAAACTAAAATGATTTTTTCAATCTTTCTCCAAAATCAAATTCCGAAAATTTTCTCTCTCTCAAAATCAGAACTGGCCCTATTTGAATATGAATCCCTTGATGAATGTGGGGCTTGGATTAAGTGAAATCGATCCAATGCCTCACACTCATCCAGTTGCCCGTTCTCAGAACCTTCCAACCATGAGATATAGCTCAAATTCGAGCGAGTGAGAGGAGAGAGGAATCTTTGGTGTCAGAAACCATTAGAAATGGTGATGGGGAGAGAGTGGGAACGCGTGAGGTGAGATTTGGGATTCACTCGCCCGAATTTGGATTGAATTTGGGCTTGGTTTGAGTGAATTTGGAGAAGACGAACAGTAACACCCGTCGTTTGGGGTCTTCTGATTTTAGGGCTCTGTATCTCGTGCGTATATTTAGGGAGTGGGTCGGNCATACCAAATTAAAGGAAAACTACCAAAATTTGAAATTAAAATTAAAAGCGCAAAAATAAACTATTTTGTGATTTTTTCCATGTTTATAAAACGCTAAATTACTAATTAATTCAAAAATACAAAAATTAGATCCTAAATGCAAATGCAGCATATTTTTGTACTTTTCATTAATTAAACAAAATGAAATGCACAGATAAATGCAGACGATTAACAGAAAATGCCACAAAATCCACAAAAATTGCAAATAATGAAAAGAAATTATTTTGTTTTGAATTTATGAGAGTAATTCATATAGGGCAAAAATCACGTGCTCACATTTGGGGTATGGCGATTAGAGGCCATAAATTTTCCAATTTAAATACATGATCATGGTAGGAATTTAAAGGTGATTAGTTGATGGAATTTTGTTGGTTGGGTGTGAATGGCTGATCACACATGTGATATTAGGAGTATAAATTATTAAAGACTAATGGTGGGATGAAATTATTGGTTAATGGTGATAGTTGGAGGAACCAATACTATAGTTATGAGGTGTAAATATCTATGCCTACAAGATGTTTGATAATAGGCCTAAATGGCATAAGTTATGAGAATTATTACTAATATTGGCCCTATTGAATGTTGTATTGTAGATTGAAGTTACCTAAGAGTAGTGGATCATTGTAGTACCATTTAAGGGGCAAGTCCCAGATATGTATGGCTAAAACCCCGTCTTTTAAAAAT